TTGGTACAGGAATCTTCCGGTTTCCAAATCCACAAGGGAATCGACTAATCCGAAATGAAGCCGGGTAGGACCACAAGGGCGGTAAAGTGTTACCGTGTATATTTATGCAGCATATCTTGTGAATCATTTGAGGAGATATTTTAGGGATAGTTAGTATCTTGTGATTAGTTAGTTTTCTTAGTTAGGATGTAATCTCGGTTATATATATTTTGGCTAATAAGAATTCGAGGATCATCACGTTTGGATGAATAAGTTCCCCAATATTTTCTTTGACATGGCATCAGAGCCAATTTTTTTTCCTCGGGCAATTTTTCGGTTTTCTCCTTGAATTTTGAGGGGTTAATTACTTTTCAATTAGAGTAATTTGAATTATCTTTGCGGGCTTGTATTTCCTTTTGAGCGGCTTGAATTATCTTTGAATTTTGAGCAGCGATTCTATTTTTTCTTTCTCTGTGGGTGTACTTTTTTTTTTCAATTGGGCAGTGCCTGCAAATTGTTGAGAGAATGGTTAATTTTTAATTGTTGAGTGTGTTCCCTTTAAAAAAAATAAATAAAAAAAATAAAATTATATATTTTTCTGGAGTTCAAGCCGCAACAAAAAAAAATAAAAAAAAAAGCTTTCTAGCGAGAATTATGGGGATACCGGGTAATGGAGGAACCGCAGCTCACGCTGGGGGACAAGCTGGTTGTGGCGGACGTGGTGACGGACCAGCCGTTGTCGGCCTTGTCAATGCCGATAGTGCCATACATGGTGGGTCAACAACCTCATTGACGGACTCCGATAGGGCAGCTATTTCTGGGTTGACTGATGCCCAATGGGAGTCTATTGTACATCTCGTCACTTTTGCCTGCAACAATACTTCTTTGTCCGGTAAGCGTAGTCCTTATGAGTGGATGTTTGATAGTGGTGCTTCACATCATATGACGGGCTATTTGGAATTTTTTTTCTGATATTCGGGATATTCCGACTCGGTCTGTGCAGTTACCTAATGGCACGCTCACCACTGCGTGTAAAGCTGGAACTGTTCATCTCGGTTCTCGTACTATTTTATATGATGTTTTGTTCGTTAACAGTCTTCAGTGCAGCTTGATATCTTTATCTCAGTTGTTGGATCAATCTGGTTGTGTTGCTACATTCACTAGTAAATATTGTGCTATTCAGGACCTCACTTCGAGGACAATAATTGGAGCAGGTGAACAATTGGGGGGACTCTATTTTTTCCGAGGGGCAATCACTGCCAATGCTTCTCAGGTGTCTTCGGTTATGCAGAACTTGTGACACCAACGGATGGGTCATCCATCTTCTACTGTTCTTGGTCAATTGCCTTTTGTCAAGTCTCCCTCCTTGGTCTCGAATAAATCTTGTGATGCTTGCTGTCGGGCGAAGCAATCTCGTGATAGCTTTCCTCTTAGTCGCAGCATTAGCAGTTCCATTTTCAGTTTGATTCATTGTGATGTGTGGGGATCTTATAGAGTTCCTGCCTTTAGTGGTGCTCGATATTTTTTGACTATTGTTGACGACTATTCTCGAGGTACTTGGATTTTCTTATTGGATGACAAATCTTCGGTGTCTTCTACTCTACTGCAATTTTTTGCTTTCGTTAAAAGGCAATTTGGTGTGTTGGTTAAAACTCTTCGCAGTGACAATGGGACTGAATTTACTCGTATGCGCGATTATTTTCGTCAACAAGGGATTGTTCATGAAACTTCTTGTGTCGGAACTCCTCAACAAAATGGACGTGCTGAGCGCAAACATCAGCATATTCTTAATGTTGCTCGAGCATTACGATTTCAGGCCCATTTACCGATTGAGTTCTGGGGACATTGTGTACTTGCTGCTGGCTATTTGATTAATCGAACGCCTACTCCTCTTTTATCCGGCAAGACTCCCTATGTATTATTGTATGGCGAACCTCCCAAGTATGCGCATTTACGTGTTTTTGGCTGTCTGTGTTACGTGCACAATCAGAATAGGGATGGTGACAAGTTTGCAAGTCGGAGTCGTCGATGTGTTTTTGTTGGGTATCCATCTGGCCAAAAGGGGTGGTGTGTTTATGATTTGGACAACCGCACTTTTCTGGTCTCACGTGATGTGAAATTCTGTGAATCAGAGTTCCCTTATTTGACGTCTACTGCTCTTGATATTGCCTCTGCACCAGTGGTTCCATGGCCTGTTGTTTCTGACGACGATGATGATGTGGTGGTTCCCACTACAACGCGTACTGTTGCCACTGGGGGTTCTGAATTCATTGTCGATATGGGGGATGATCTTTTTCAAGAGGAAGTGCTGGGTCGCGGTCATCGTCTCAAGAGGCCCTCTTCCCGCCTCGCCGATTTTGTCTCTCACACTGTTTGTTCCTCGTCTCCCCACTCTGCCTCCTCCATTGCATCATCATCTAGCACTCCTTATCCTCTTGCACACTATGTTTCTTGTGATTCGTTTTCACCTGCACATCAGTCATTTCTTGCAGCCGTTTCTTCCACTGTTGAGCCTCAAACCTTTTCTGAGGCTGTTCGAGATAGTCGCTGGTGTTCGGCTATGCAACTGGAGATTCGAGCATTGGAATCGAACCATACATGGGATATTGTTTCTCTTCCTACTGGGAAACACGCGATTGGTTGCAAGTGGATTTATAAGATTAAACATAACTCTGATGGTTCTGTTGAGCGCTACAAGGCGCGTTTGGTTGTCTTGGGCAACCGGCAGGTGGAGGGCATTAACTATCAAGAGACATTTGCACCTGTCGCTAAGATGGTTACTGTGCGGACTTTTCTAGCTGTTGCAGCTGCTCGACATTGGGAGGTTCATCATATGGACATTCACAATGCGTTCTTGCATGGAGATCTGTCTGAGGAGGTCTACATGAAACTTCCTCCTGGTTTTCATTCGCCTGATCCTGGTAAGGTGTGTCGATTGCGTCGTTCTCTGTATGGTTTGAAGCAAGATCCTCGTTGTTGGTTCGCCAAGCTTGCTACTGCCCTTAAGCAATATGGTTTTGCGCAGTCTTATTCAGATTATTCTCTATTTACTTTACATCGGGATTCTGTGCATTTACATGTCTTGGTTTATGTTGATGATCTCATCGTCTCTGGGAGCGACCCTGCCACCATCACTGCCTTTAAAGAGTACCTGGGTCGCTGTTTTCATATGAAGGATTTGGGAGTCCTGAAGTATTTTCTGGGCATTGAGGTTGCTCGGAACACCTCTGGTATTTTTCTATGCCAGAGAAAGTACACTCTTGACATCGTTGTCGAGACAGGCTTGCTTGGCGGGAAGCCGGTTGACTTTCCTATGGAGCAGAATCACCAACTCCCATTAGCCGAGGGACCTGTGCTCTCTGATCCTGAGAAATATCGTCGGTTAGTGGGTCATTTGATTTATTTAGCTGTGACTCGTCCTGACTTGTCGTATGCTGTGCACATGCTCTCTCAATTTATGCATCAGCCTCGTCAAGCACACTGGGATGCCGCTATTCGTGTGGTCCGATACTTGAAGGGTACGCCGGGCCAGGGTATTCTTCTCCGTTCTGACTGTGATTTGCAGATTTATGGTTGGTGTGACTCTAATTGGGCGACTTGCCCTACTACCCGCCGGTCCCTCACTGGTTGGTCGTTCAACTTGGCCACTCTCCGATATCGTGGCGTACTAAGAAGCAACACACTGTTGCTCGTTCCTCAGCCGAAGCTGAGTATCGCGCTATGGCGACCCTTACTTGTGAATTGAAGTGGCTACAGGGTCTGCTACGCAGTCTTGGTGTGGTTCATTCACAGCCGATGCGGATTCACTGCGACAGTCAGGCGGCTCTTCACATTGCCGCTAATCCGGTGTTCCATGAGCGAACCAAGCACATTGAAGTTGACTGTCATTTTCTTCGTGATGCTCTCGTCCAGGGTCTCATTTCTACTACTCACGTTTCTACTCATTCTCAGCTAGCGGACATTTTCACAAAAGCCTTGGGCAAGCGAGAGTTTGATTTCTT